GCTGCATTGGGTGATGCTGCTCCAGAGTTATTTTAATCCACAGACAGCAGGGATAAAGGTGCTAGTCTGACTGGACAACATGCTGCGTCCACAGTCACCAGCGTATACGTTTCCACAGAAGGTCCAGGCACCACAGAAGAAGGCTCATGCACACTCGTGGCTTTTGTTCTCAGTATCTTAGCTTCTGAAAAGGTTGTCCTGCTGGACAAACCGAAACCCAGTAACACCCTCCCTCTCCGTACTGTGTGCTGGTGCACGGCCGCACAGAGGGGACGGTGGCCCTCTGCCCTGCTCCCCGGTGCCACCAGCGAGGGACCCGCATGCGAGGCCCCAGCCTGCTAAAGCAGAGTCAGCGCCGAAACTGCCACTGCCTTCGTGAAGACCGCAGTTCGAACCATTCCCTTTTAAACCAGCATTTCACAACCTGTGGTCTGTGGACCGTAAAAGAGCTGTAAGACATCAAAAGATAATCCCTGAGGCTGTCAAAAAAAAAAAAAAACAACAGTTATTTCAGTCTATTTGCGCCTAGTCCTTTGCATGCAAAGGTAGGGGAAAGGCCTAAACACAGGTGAGTTCCCCTTTGGAGACTTGCGTAAGTTTTATTTGGGAGGAGGGGAGTGAAATCCGCCGTGACTTGGTCTGGCCAGGCCAGCAGCTGTGTGGTTTTGGCTGGTCTCCTGGAGCAGCAGCTCCTGGTTTAGCCAAGGATGGGTGCTGCGAGCCTCCCCAGCAGCAGTGTGGGACGGGCGCCGAGGGCTCTTCTGGCCAGAGGAGCCACCGTCCCAGCTGTGGGCCCAGAGAAACTTGTGCATCTGTGAACTAGCAGCAGCAAAGGTGTTTTTGTTTTTTGGGTTTGTTTTTCAACTTTTGTCTTATTATTAATGTGAAATTTCGCACTCAGAATTGCAGCAGGTACCTTCTGAGCCATGCACTAGCGATTAATGCCCTCAAGGACCCGTTTGCACTCAGCAAGGAGCAGAGGAGCACAGGGACTTCCTGATTTGCCAAAGTCCAGACCCCTGGGATTGCCGAAAACCACATCACTTGAAATGACTAAACTCAGCGTATTCCTAATCAGTTCTGCCTGTCCCCCGCTTTGTGGAGACAGGGCTTTTCTGTGTCCCACTGCAAGTTTTTACAGGTAGTCTGGTAGGGGGGGAAAAAAAATTACACAGTGACCTCTAGCCTCATGGTTAAAACATACTTCCAAGCCCCAAGGAGATCCCTGAGCTCTCTTAACAGCCTGATTTTCGCTTGTGTCCGGTGGCGATGGAAAATGATATGGTCTCATTTACGCCTTTTCATGTTATACGTCTGTCTTTCTGCTTTTATTAGGATCACAACCCTTTTCTCCTTTCCCTGTCCAAACCCTCCACAAGAGAACTAACTTTTAGGATCTATTTTTCATTCTAACCTGCCTTGAACTTCTGTCTGGATTTGCCATACCACTCTCCAGTGTGCGCCGAGCATTTTGAGAAGCGTTTATTGTGTTAAGGCGCTTTTTAATAAGTTTTTTTTTTGCACGAATAAAAGATATTGCATCAGGCTGGGTTGAAGCTATTTTATGTATTGCTTCTCTACGGCTGGCTGGATGCCCTTTCCCTTCCCCTCTTCTTTTACATGGCAGAGCACGCAGAGATGATTGATGGCATGTCACCAATAAGTTGTCAAAGTCTGGAGTAGATTAATGGGTAAGAAACGGTGGCCTATTCCCCTTCATGTGGGATTGTTTGAAGGAGGGCTCATATTTTACCAGGAATGATATCCTGCCTCTCTGGATTCCCCCAGTCAGGACTTGAAGGATGGGGTTCGTACCCAAGCTCGAAAGGTGCTGGCCACAAATAGCCAGATCATTCTTTGGGACAGCTGCCCACCTTTCACTTGACCAACCCAGCACTCGCCCGGAGGCCTGTTTTCCCACGCAGGCTGCGCTCCTCTGTACAGGTGTGGATTTGTGCCAACGGTTAACGTTTATACTGCTTTTCCTGAACTTGCAGGCACGAGTAGTTACAGAGCGGATGCCAAGATCTGTCTGTCTGCCCCTAGCTTTTCACCTGGGGCACGTTGGCCAACGTGCCTGGGCTGCAGGGCGAGTGGCACCGGCAACCTGGTGCAGCTCAGCGCCTTTAGGGAGGCTTTTTTGGTGGCTGGCCTCGCGGGGCTGCTGCACCAGCCTGAAACGGCTGCCTTTGGCTGTGCCTCAGTTCCCCAGCTGCAAAACAGGGATAGCAGCATGTTAATCACCAAAAATCTCACTTACCATAAATTATGGGTGCAGAAATGCTAGGAATGCAATTCATAAGAGAAATTAATCAAAGACTGGTCTGAATTCTGGCTGGGGGAAAAAAAAAATCAGACTCAGAGTATGATTGTTTCCTACATTTTCTTGAGGGTAGACATTGCCAGCATTTCATAATCAGCTATTCGGGTCCAAACAGATACTTCAGCATTGTTATTTGTATAGTCCCCAGCAGTGGCCTCCGTTAGTAGGTTGAATGAGGCAAGAGTTATGTCTTTCACGCCAGCATATCTGTGTGTACCAGAAGCATGCACCTGGCTGTCAAAAGCCGTGCTCCAAGGGCTAGCTCGCGTCTGGTTTTCTGATTATCCCTGGAACAGCTATTCTTCAAGGGTAGCTGCTTTTTAGTGGTTCTGATCTCAAGTCTGTGGCTAACCAGCTGAAAGGTAGTTAGGGGCATTTCAATTCCTCTTAAAGCAAATGCCTTTTCTTTTTGTGTGTAGTTAGAAATCAGAGCTACTGGTCATTGTCTTACAGTAGTTTAGCATGCAAAATGATAAATCTGTTTATTTTATCTCACGGGGTATCATTTGCTGATCCAGTCCAGCTGTCTCCTCCTCTGTCCTCATGACAAAAAGACCTGCGCTTCACGCAGCCACAGAGCTTCCCGGGCTTTCGCAATTTCTAGTCATTCACTCCCTAAGAAAGAGAGGCTTCAGGGACAACTTTCACTAAGCACTTTTCAGAGGTTCCTGTGCACTGACTCACCTCACAGCCGATGCGCCTCCCCCTCTCTTTTCCTCCTCTTGCCTGGACAGCACTGGCTATTTGGAGCCTGCTTGTCTATTATAAAAAAAAAAAAAGAGAGAGAGACTATATAAGCATTAATGATTTGTTTTTGTGTCCGGGAGCCACTGTGCTGCAGGACTTTGCTCTGATGGTGCTTGCACAAGAAAGACTTAATTTGACTAACTTTATTAATTTCAGTTTGTTTTAAGTTTGCTCATTAGTAATTTAATGCAAGATGCTTCAGCTGAAGAGGCCATGTCAGGACAAGGAAGAGCAGAGGGGAAGTGCCAGGAATCATTAGTGTTTATTAACCACTGCACTCATCAATCTTGACTAAGAGCACAGCCCATCCGTTCTGGACTGGTGGACTGAGATGCAGAAATATCATCAAGAGTAGAAAAATGCTTCTTTTCAGGTCAGGCCGTAACGGGCAGGCTTTCAGGGCCCCCCAGCCCACCCCCGCTGTCACCCCGTATTATCTCCATTTAAGCTGGTCTCATCACAGTCTAGCACAGAGCTCAGCAGCCTTGTGAAAGGAAGGAGCCTTCCCCCAGCCAGCCATAGTATCAATTAACAAATACAGTCTTTTCATCCCAAGTAAACATTACTGAAAGGTTAAGTGTTGTTATGAAGGGTTTTTTGTTTTAATTGCTTTTCAAATTATTAAATGATTAATACTTGTGTGCTGTGCTGGATCAGGCCTGGCGCTCTGTGCTGGCAGCGTGTACCTCTCACAGCAGTTCACAAAATATTAGAATTGAAAGTTTTTCTTTCTTTTTTTTCCCTCCTTGTTTAGTCAAAGAGTTTAATAATTGATTTCAGCAACTACAAGGCAGTGGGCTGAAAGCTTTCTGACCCGTGAGTCAGGGCTGAATGAATGCCCCCGAAACGCTGGAGAGGGGAACAGTGCTGTATCATCTGCCAGGTTTCTAATGGGAATTATAACCCCTTCCCAGACCATTTGTGGTCATTAAAGATTGCATTTCACTTTGAGATGTGTTTTCTTGCATCCTACCCAAATTGCAACTTGAGTAGTTACCTTCTACTCACTAAAATATCCCTGTGGTTTATCTGGAGAAGTTGTTTCCCTTCCCCTCCTAAAAGCTTTGTTGTACAGTGTTGTGGTCCTATCATAATGTGTGCTGTATAATCTATAGAGCACTTAAAAAAAAAAAAAAAAAGGTGCTGCTCCGTTACTCGCTGTCTAGACTGCTGCACAGATTTAGGAGGAAAGTAAGATCTTGGGAACCCAGTTCAGCACCATGCCCCCCCGCCCTCCGCCTCCTTGCCACCCTTGCGAAGTGTGTGACAAGCCCTGTCACATTGCAGAGGTAGCATTTTTACACTTACTTTGCACATGTAAATCACTGCACAAGGCAAAGCGCCACGTGTCGGGTCTTAGACATAAGGTCTTTGGCAATGAGCATGTTAGGCTTAGTATTATGATGCCACAGCCTAGAAACATGCAATAAATTTCAAGCACAGCATGGATGTTCAGACAGATTGTGCATGTCATGACTTTTTGTGGATAAGATTTAGGTGTTTTATGGGGAAAGGGTTTTATTGGATGACATTCGGTGATAGAGGGGATGGAAAGAGATTGCAGTTTAATTAAAATTCTAATCCCACGTTTGACAATTTTTCTTGCCAGGTCAGCAGCCTGCATGTGCTGTTTGTGATTCTCGCAAATTAAATGGGCTGACAGTCATCAGCTTCCTCCGAAATGCCTGTAACTCCAGCTAAAAATTAGCAAACATCAATATGGTTCACAGCAGCTTTGAGCAGGGATATGTCACACAGCATTTTTCCACCAATGTACATACAGAGGCCTTTTCATAAGCACCAATTTATTCCACTGCTGCCGATGATCAAACACAAGTGGAAAAAAAAAAATAAACCTTCCTCTCCAGGAAAAAGTCACGTTTATTGTCCTCTGCTGCTGAAATCTTACCGGCACGTTCCTGTTTTCCAGGTAGTTAAGTAGTGTTGCCACAGAGGTAGCGCTCGCCTTCCCCAGCCATGAGGCTTCCTCTGCTCTGTGCCTGGGTGATGCTAATGAGCCTGTGCCGGAGCCGAGCCGTCAGCTTCCCCGAAGACGAGGACCCCATTAACATCGTCGACTACCACTGTAAGTAATCTGCAAATGGCGCTAACCACCATGGGAAAATTTTTAATGCGTTTTTCTTTTTTTTCCTTGGGAAGCTAAAAAAAAAAAATGTTTCCTTTCAAATTGAAATGTGTTTACTGGCTTTGTATCTTTAATAGAGCACTTAATCATTTTCTTAAAAAAGCAATCAGAAACACAGCAATAACTTCAGGAAAAAAGAACATTTGCTGACATTAGCCATCTTTTTTTTTTCATTTATATTCAAGACATTACTCAAGGAATTTAGTTTAAACCCTTCTACACCTAGTATATACAGCTAATCAATGCCGTATATTGATTCTTTAGCTCTATAATCCTGAGTGATGGTGTAGCCCATTTTTACTTGCAGATTCAAGGCAATATCCAGTATTTAGAGGACGCCCTTCAGGCAATGAATCTCAGCACAGACTGGACTTCCAACTGATGTTGAAAATTCGAGACACACTTTATATTGCTGGCAGGTAATTTTCCTTTAGTCAGTTCATTAGATTAAAATTCTTTTCTCTCCTAGTTTTGCATTAATGTGTAAAATTCATTTAGAAAAATCTGCAGAATATGATAAAAATTAGAACGGGGAGGAGGACTTCCCAGAGAAATATGCCATCTCTATGGCCAGCGCCTGAAAATTGGATTTGAAGGCTGCAGTTACTGCAGTTATGCTAAAACCAATGATCAAACACCCTTTTCCCTCATTACATTACTGCTCTGATAAAAACCTCTCCTGATCATTTTAAACTTGGACTGACACATCAGGGATGTGGGAATGATGCTAAAACACTTGAATATTTACAGTCTGGGCTGTGCTGCAACAGTATGGAAAGACAAGGCATGGCTAACTGGAAAGTAAAGATGCTACTTAAGAACCACTACAATGAAAATAAAAAATATCTCATACTGCCCATGCCCAACCTTCTCCTGTTTTTGTTGAACGAAGAAAATCCATAAGGGTTTCAAAGGCATTTCTTGTCCGACAAAGCAATCCATAAAATAGATTTATCTTATCAAAAAGAAGTCCAATGAATTAATAAATTCACTTGTATCTTTTTACTGTCTTTGCAAACAGGGATCAGGTTTACACTGTAAACTTAAATGACGTTCCAAAATCGGAAGTTACTCCAAGCAAGGTGAGTAGAGACAGGAGGATGGCCAGGGAAGGTTGGTTGTTTGTTTTTAATTATTATTATTACTTTTAAGAATTTTCTGGAAAGGAAGTCATTTTCTTTTCTCGTTTGATTTAAGCAGAAATTAACATGGAGGTCAAGGCAGCAGGACAGAGAGAACTGTGCTATGAAAGGCAAACATAAAGTAAGTTTATCCGATACACTGTAGCCAAATCAACACTCATACTGTGTATGTGAAGTCTGTGATTAATATATCTTATTCTCTTTTCAGGATGAATGCCATAACTTTATTAAAGTCTTTGTTCCAAGAAACGATGAGATGGTGTTTGTCTGTGGAACAAATGCATTTAATCCTATGTGCAGATACTATCGGGTAAGAACACTGAATAATATGTCATTAATCTGTTACTAATTTTGCTTGCACTAATTATGATATAGCAAGTACATCCAGTGTGACTATAGAGCGAATGCTTCAAGGTGGGATAAAAACAGACAGAAGCCAATGTGCCAAATTAAGTTTTGGGGAAAACCAATATTATGCTTTTGTGCCACTGTACAAAATAGAAATGACACTACCACCCATTTATTTTTCTTCTCTAGCTGAATACCTTAGAGTATGACGGGGAGGAAATTAGTGGTCTGGCAAGATGCCCATTTGATGCCAGACAAACCAATGTCGCCCTCTTTGCTGGTAAGAACTTTTGCTTGTAATGAGTCTAAATGATTAATGACACCAAAGGAACCAGAGGGCTTTTAAAGAAAGCTTTGAAAAGCTAAAGGTGTCAAGGTGCCTCTGATCCTAAATTTTTTAAATGGCCTCTGAAGGATTAGAAGCTGAACTGTTAATAAATAGGTTAGAGCAATTTGGGGAAGAGTGGCAGTAAAGAAATGGGAAAGAATACAGGTTAGTCAGAATTCTCTGTATTATTGAAGGCCTTTTAATGCCACGTTTTAACCTTTGTTTTAGATGGAAAATTGTATTCGGCAACGGTAGCAGATTTCCTGGCAAGTGATGCTGTTATTTATCGCAGCATGGGGGATGGATCTGCCCTAAGAACAATAAAGTATGATTCCAAATGGATAAAAGGTAATTGGGCGGGGGGGAGTGGGGAGGGAGGATGTTTCCCATATGTATGGTGAATGTAAGTTCAGTGGCACTGAGGGTCAGGTAATTCACAGCCAGCATGCTCTATCTATAAGCCACAACGTCAGTATATATGTGGCTTTCAATACAGTATGATCGCAGTAAGAAAGAAATTTAATGCCCATAAAGCAAAATCTTTGTTAAATGAATAAGTGAATGACGCTGCAATAACAAAAACCTTAGCTGAAACACAATTCCTTTGAGGCCTTTTTACAGGCCATTAGCCAACATTAAAGACGCTGAGTTCATTTCAGCTCAAGTGCACCCATGTTTGGACATCCTCAAGTGTGGGGAAGACTGGAGCACACCATAGCTGCAACGGACTGCGGAGAGGCCGCCGAGTTGCCTGGGGTGGCCCGTATCTTCTACTAACCAAACGCTTCCATGCAGTAACCTTCTCTTTGCTCTTTCTTACAGAGCCACATTTCCTCCATGCCATAGAATACGGGAACTATGTTTATTTCTTCTTTCGAGAAATTGCTGTAGAGCACAATAACTTAGGCAAGGTAGGTGTCATCACAGTAAGCTATCAGGTGGCTGTGAAGCCTTATCAGAATGAGATCTACCTAAAACAGCATCAGTAACAAGCATAGTTTACAATATAAAGTGGGGAACAGTACACAGTTCATGTAGTTTTCCCATCATTAAATTTACAGGGGAAAAAAAAAAAAGAACAATGCATTCTTAGCCATAAAGTTGTTTGTATTTTCTATGCCTTGCTGTTAAGAGAGTTCTCTACAGGTAGCTTTTAATGCTGCTGTTTCCTTAGCACTTGTGGAAAGTCATGGATTTGTTTTTTTATTTCATGCTTATTAAAGAAACGACAGAAAACAACACAGAAGAGGGCTTCAAAGAAGTTTCTCTCATGTTTCTAGATATTGAATAATTCAGTCATACCAACACAGCATATAATACTCTTGCCTCACCATGGAAAGCTATTCAATAATAAATTATTAAATCCTTTACACATGGTTAATTAAAGTCTTTAAATCTCACTAACAATATGATTTTGACAGGGGAAAAAGTGGGGACAAGCTGGCAGAGTTGCATTTGCTCGGTGATGCATTAAGATGCCCATGCACTAGCAGCTAAACATTGTTTACTTTCTTCCTGTCTGTGCAGATAAATGGCAACTAGCTTCCTGTTAACAAAATTATCTTCAGTGTGTTATTAACAGCCCAGAAACAAGCGCTGCTTTCCTTGCAGCTCTCATGCCTTCCTCCTTTTTTTCTTTTTTTGCCCTTTGCAGGCTGTGTATTCCCGGGTGGCTCGCATATGCAAAAATGACATGGGGGGGTCCCAGAGAGTCCTGGAAAAACACTGGACCTCCTTCCTGAAAGCTCGGCTCAACTGCTCCGTTCCCGGGGATTCATTTTTCTACTTTGATGTTCTGCAGTCTATCACAGACATAATAGAAATCAATGGCATCCCCACTGTCATCGGTGTGTTCACTACACAGCTTAACAGGTGAGAGAGGAGCAGCCTCACATCAAAGGACCTTCTCTGGGTCTCACTTACGCTGAGATGGGTGCCATTGTAGCCTGAGTTCTTGCAACAATTTTTCTTATTCGGTAGCATCCCTTGTTCAGCAGTGTGTGCTTTCAGCATGGAAAACATTGAGAAAGTCTTCAAAGGGAGATTTAAAGAACAAAAGACTCCTGACTCTGTTTGGACAGCTGTACCTGAAGACAAAGTACCAAAGCCAAGGTAAAAGATTCTTACTCCTGATGCAATAATATTGTCCTTGTAAAGAGCTACCTTAAATCAGCTACACTCTTGCGTGCCTTATCAGATTAAAAAAACACCCAAAGCCGAGCTTTGCACTTCAACCATACAAATGTTCATTAGCAGGCTGCCTTCTCTCATTAACTAAAATACCAAGAGGGAAAACAATGTTGTTCTCCTTTCAGACCTGGCTGCTGTGCAAAACATGGCCTAGCAGAGGCTTACAAAACCTCCATTGACTTCCCAGACGAAACGCTCTCCTTCATCAAGTCTCATCCTTTGATGGATTCAGCTGTTCCCTCAGTCACTGAGGAGCCCTGGTTTACGAAAACACGTGTCAGGTATGACGTCATTCAGACATACAGATGTGAAAAGGAAAACAAGAAAACATACTGGTAATTAATGACAGGCCTTTTGATTTTGGTAGATACAGATTGACGGCAATTGCTGTAGACCATGCTGCTGGACCTTACCAGAACTACACAGTCATATTTGTGGGCTCTGAAGCAGGGGTAGTACTTAAAATTTTGGCAAAGACCAGATCTTTTTCTTTGAATGACAGTATATTACTGGAAGAAATTGAAGCATATAATCATGCAAAGTAAGTATTACCAGAACACCTAAAATAATACATAGCTCTTCATCTAGTCCTTGGTAGCCAGCTTAAAAAAAAAACATATGGTGGTAAAACAAAACCAATTCATTATCACCACCGTTGTCACTTGTTTGTCATGCCACAGTGTTCCTTGTGTTAAACAACCTGAAAATATTTGGGTACTTGCCCTTTTTTATGGGTTCAGTGAACAACCCAATTCCATTCTAGTGACGTCAGTTATACAGTCTAATGCTTCTGCAAGTAGATACAGTTTTTCCTGAATATCAAACATCAGGCCTATATGCTGCTGTTAAAAAGAAACGGTGACCTTATCTTGAGGGTTTCTGAAGAGTGACCAATAATAAGTAAGCCACTTGTAATCATTTTAAACTTGTTTATTCTGGAGCAAAGACTGTTGGAACGGAAGCGTTCCAATTAGGCTCCCTGGGCACCCAGTACAGGACTCCTGTTCTGCTCTGTTGAGATGTTTATGCCAACTGAGAGAACAAAGCAAAACGGCATGTGGATTTTTTTTTTTCCCCTACATAGTTCAGTGAGATTGTCAACCAGCTGTAAATAAGAGCCAGACGCCAGCAATTGATAACCCATACAATTGTTTAATAATCACTCAGCAAAGACTAGTAACTTACATTTACATATGTAAAAAAGTTGCTTTTCAGAATCTATGCTGACGATAAATTTTAAAAAAAAATGCTATCAGTGTTAAGTGCTGCACAGCATACTACAGTTACTGAAGTAATGGCTTCACATTATTTTTGCTAAACAGGTGTAGCGCAGAGAGCGAGGAGGACAGAAGAGTCCTTTCCCTGCAGCTGGACAAAGAGCACCACGCGCTGTTCGTGGCGTTCTCCAGCTGCGTCGTCAGGCTTCCTCTCAGTCGGTGCGAGCGGCATGGCTCGTGTAAAAAGTACGTCCCTCTTCCCAGACTCCCTTAAAGGAAGGGTACAGCCATTGCTGGGGAAGGAAGTAAAACATGCCTGAATTTTCTCGCGTTTTCTCTTGCAAGGTCATGTATTGCTTCCCGGGATCCATACTGCGGCTGGTTAGACCATGAGGCATGTGGAAGAGTGAAACCAGGCATGCTGTAAGTGCTGCTTTTCAAATTAGCCTAGCATCTCTACCATGTGTTTTATAGACCACAAGAGCCTGTATCATACGCCTGTTCCCTTGCACTCAATTAATAAATCTCCCCTTTTTGAGCTGTTTTTTTAATGTACTGTCTATGTAGGGGAATGGAATGCTAAAGTCTGTCCTAATTCTGCAATCTCTACTCAAAGATTTGCTTTCTGTGGGAGGTGTACACGTACGTGTGTGCGTGTGTGTGTGTGTGTGCATGTGTGTGTGTGTGTGTGCGCGCGCGTGCATGCAAGGACAAGCAGCCTTGTAGGAAGAGCAGTCGGAAGGTACAGTGTCCGCTCCCAGACACACTCATGGTCTGGGCACGTTCAATTGCAAATTAGAAAACACATATTTCGGACAGGAGAAAGGAGAAGATTTTTTGGCTCCACCCTGATACTAAGGTTATGATATATACCTAGCAAAGGCATTTTGCACAAATCAAGCCTGTAATATACAGTGCATTAGCAGCTGTACCTTAAAAAGGAAACACCGTAGTAGGCCAGCACAAACTTCAGCTAGTATGGTCGGATGGCAGAATCCAAACCAGGAGCAGTCCCAGGGTAGACGGGATGATGAAGTTACTTTGAAGATTTGATCTTTTCTATTTCCTGGCATAAGCAAATACAGTTTTAAAGCCTCAACATAACTTGTGCATTTTGTAAATCATTTGATGACCGTATACTAGCTCTTGCATCTCTTAAGTTGACTGAATAAATATGTTTCCATTTGTTGCTTCCAGAAAAAAAGAAAAAAAAAATCACCATTTCTTTCCTACCAATACTGTTAATTGCAGGTTCTCTTTGTTTGTTTCATACAACCACAGCACTGGAGGGTACGTCCAGGATGTAGAATATGGCAACACAGCGCAGCTTGGGGACTGCCATGGTAAGCCATAGCCACTGCTGCTCATTTATAACGTGCCAACACTAGCTTGTGGCCGCACTTCACCGTGGATGTTAAATTTATGATGAGCTTTTCGGTAACATGATGAACCCATCACCTGGCGTTATTGTGAATGGTCACAAAGCTGAGCTTTTTGGTCCTGGGTGGCAGAGTTTTACCTTTCCTCCCCTTCACCAATTTACAACTATTTGGGGTCTACAGCAAAGTACTGAAGAATTTATTTTTTAAAACCAGTAATATTTTAGTTTTTATTTTCCGTCACTCAGGTTTGAGATCTTTTGCTTTCTTTTTTGTTACTTTTCACTGATATACTTGTTCCTTTAATTCTTTTAGAAATTTTGCCTACTACAGCTACACCAGATTACAAAATATTTGGCGACCCAACATCTGGTTAGTTTTTTTTAATTTTTTTGAATTAATGACCTTTACTTTCCTTCAGTTCAGCATTTTCAGCCCTTTTTTCCTTCCTTTTGCACAGTTGGCAATCCTCCATTTTTGTGCTTTTACTCATGTTCCCTCTGATGGTAAAGATAGTCAGACTCTTCTCACTCAGCTCTTCACCCTGTGTAGTCGCATGTTAACAGCTCATTATTTATTGAGCCATCTTTTATTAAAGAGCCTGATTAACATAGATGACATCTTCACTGCACGAAAGTCCACTAAGCTTTACTCTTATCCCTAGCCATGCATTCATGAATGCCCCTACTGGTCATCTCTAGTAGATGAATGGCAAAATATCATCATCTTCCTTCTTACCTCTCCTTTCCTCTTTCCTTCTTTCCCAGCAAACCTTTTGCACAAATACACATTTCCTAAAATGTGTATTTCTACATTTTTGAAATGTTTTAAGGAGTTTGTGCTAATGGAAATAATTTAACATCACAAATTGTGTAGCTGAATGAGGACTTGTGTAGACAAAGGTGGATTAGAAAACTTGATGCCTTGCTGTCAGATGGACTTTCACAGCCTTTTCTCCTTCAGTGATTTTCCTAACAGTGTTTCCATTGTCAGCCCCTGGGATTCGGCAGGACCCAGTGCTCCTCTGTTGAACTCAAACGCAGAACCTGTATTGACTTCAACAGGAGCAAGCCCCAGCCCTTATTTTCCAGTGTTTTTTCCTGGAACTAGGCCTCTGCTTTCAAACTGAGGGCACATTTCTGATTGCTAGATCGGAAAAGGCTCTGCTTGTATGTTTAATTTGTAAGAGTGCAACAAAACATTTTGTGTTTTGCGTTCTGATAATATTTTCACTTCTGTAACTTGACAAGAAGTAATGTTTGAGACAGATATTTTTCAGATTTATTTTCCCATAACGTAGGTTAGAAACTTATTTAGGAAAGCAAAACAAAATTGTGTTACAGGAAAATGCTAACTTGCTTGCATGAATGTTTCCTTTATCAATTGAATTTTCAAAGTTGTATTTTTAGGACACAGATATAATTGAACCTGATTTTCAAGCCCTGCATTGCCATGCTTTCCGAGTACTTACTTTTCTTAGTCAGATCTCAAGCCACAGACATTCACGTCTAAACCGATCTGGCCAGTGTACACAAAATGCTACCTGAGCGTGCCAAGTAGACTCTGGCTTGTAAAGCTGACTCGGTCTGTCTGCTCCTCAGGGGTCTCTCCACCTCGGCCATAGGGATGCCATTCAGCAAGTGGACTAAAGGGGAGCCCAAATCTATACAACGTTGTTCCTTAGGAACCATTATAAAATAGAGGTTAAAGAAAGTCCTTCCCCTTCCCCCAAAGAAATGGCTCACTTCAGCAGTTCCTGGCAGGCTCTAACGGCGCTCATGGAGCTGATCTGGTTTCTCAGGAGTAACCTGTCATGAGCGTGTGTCTTTCCAAGGTTTTTTTTTTTTTTCCTTCATTTTTGAAGATATTTTAAAGACAGCAAATTATGTTGTCTCCAGTGAACAATACAGCAATTAAGTAGAATAAGTTGTGCTTTTCACCGCCACCAATTGCTTACTATACCTTTTGCACTGCTTTCATGTTTGACTTCTCCGGCTTTTTCTCAAGCAGCTGTTGATGTTTTAATGTATTTTTTGTACTTAAAGTTTTGAACTGATTGATTTTAATCAGCCCTCTGTACTTCTGCAAAGTGTAGGGGTCACGTTTTGCTCTGACATGTAACTCCCATTAAATGCTGTCTCCAGCTATAGCGTAGATGTGCCATGAAACACTGAGGAAAGCCTGACTGTAATACACATTAATAAAAATCTGTTTGCCACCACAGACATGGAGTTCTCCTCAGCTTCCATTACCACAATGGCAAGTATCCCAGTTATATCACCTAAAGTGATTGGTTCCTGGAAACCTAAAGTGACTGGCTCTCGGAAATTTGTAGTTCAAGATGACCCAAACACTTCTGATTATTCTGATCCATTATCAGGTGTCCCAAAGGGTAAGGCCTTATCAGGGAAAATACATTGCAGCTGAATGGAAACCTGATAGTCTCAGCATTTTCTAAGATTTAAACATAACAGCCATGATTGTTGGGCTATATTTTATATCCATTTCCTGTGAATATGCAGACAGTGCAATCATGTTTCTCATGCCTATTTATCTGGTGTACAAAGCGATGCTTAGAGCTTATAATGGGAAACACAGAGAATAAGCTCAGCCTTTCACTCCTGGGGTGCTCCAAAGCTCCCATCAAAATGAGCAGGAGTTCTGTATGCGGTAAAAAGAATAAATAAATTCAGCCTTACCTGCACCTCTGTTGTTTGTTTTCCAACCAGTCTAGTTTGGATGAGACTACTAGTCCTCAAGAGTGGTTGTTTACAGGCAGTGCCTAAAATAAATTTAATGCTTTGGGGGCTGGGGCAGGAGAGGGGAGACAGATAAATCACAGAACCCATTTGACAGAGCCGTGCTATAAATGGGGCATATCCCAAACTCCTCCTGCCTGCAGCAGGTTTGTAAAGAATGTGGTTCAGCTCTGAGTAAGCATGTACTGAATTTTCCTTCTGTGGTGATGAGTGCGAGTTTACAGATGATCTCAGTACGTACACCCACACCCACAGCGTCTATTCTGAGCACTAAAAGAAGCATATACTACAGGTAATCCACCTTTCTGTCAGCCGTTCTTTCAGCTCAGTGAAACTCAGATTATGGCCGCAGAGATTGCAGTTCCGCAGGACACTATCACAGGCAGATAAGGAAAGCAAGGCTTCTCATCCCATAGCCAAAACTTAAAACAGGTCTTCACTAGTACACAGAATAGCCAGATGACAGGCATGTTTGCACAATTCTGTATTTACTGAAAAAAATCTCACCAGCTAAAAACCATTCCTGTTTTATTACCATTCACCAAAACATATCAGGTTTCCTATCAGCCATTATGGCAGTGCATTTGTCATTTTAATTTGTTGCAGTTATTTTCCATTTTGCTTTGTTTAAATTTTTGTTATCATTTGCTCTTTGTTCTCAGTTATATTTTGTGTCATAGCTATTTGTGAACTTTACACATGATTTTTTTCCTTCTTCTGCACAGTGCCATTAAAACCTATAACCCTGAACATTAACAATGTTCAAAGGCCTTGCCTCTAACCAAAGCGACTCTGTTCCTTCACTCTTGCTCTTTCATTTTAACATCCTTTGGGATAGTTAAAGGAATTACTTTCATTAAAAACTAACATAGTCATAGCTGCAAGATGTCTGTGGCTGCGCTAAAAATGTCAAAAAAAACAAAGGGAGCCTGTATTAATATGCGAATCACAAACTAATCCAATATTCAACTTCTTGGTCTAAGCTAAAAGTTTTCTAAATTTGAACAATCTCTTGTAACATCTTTTAACCTTGCAAGGATTTTTAATGATATGCCAGTATGTTTGTTCATTATTGACTAAAAAAAGAGAAGAAGAACTAGCGTATTAATAGAATAACATAGTATTGAACTTTAAAAATTATACACTTAGATAATGCAAAGTGTGCCACTCCAAGGCTAGCAGACTACAGATGTAGCAGTTGACGCGTTTTGCACAGTATCATATTAACATGGTTATAACAACACAGTATGTACCTCCTACAGTTTTACACAACATTTGCATAATCCTGTTTCTCTTTTGATGCTGATTTATGAGTTGGACAGGAAATTGCGAAAGAAATCCATCCATGAGTTATTAATTGCTGTCTGGCCAAGTAACACCTTCTAACCTCAATTTTCTAGCAGAAGTCGTTACTGTTAATAACACACAAGCCCGTATTTGTGAGCCTTAAAGGAAATTTGGGGACAGACTAAACCAATAGAGTACAGCATATAACCAAGCATAATATGAGCAGTGAAGCGCTGACCCGCATTCCTGATTATCAAAGAAAATGGACAGTCTTCATTTGGATTGATCGATACTAACATAGTACCTTGTAGTTGTAAAACTATTTGCATTCACCAGCGCTTTAGATTGCAGAATCCAACTGAGTTATGCTAACCCTGGGTACACAACACCTAACAAACACTTAACTAGATATTGCCGTCCTTTCCTGGGGCAGGCTACCTTCTTCTGAAATGTATCACTGGGAAGTACATGTTCATTTATCATACACTGTATGTCTTTTGCAGGTGTAAGGTGGGAAGTACAAGCAGGAGATTCCAACCAAATGGTACATATGAATGTCCTAATCACTTGTGTCTTTGCTGCTTTTGTCCTGGGAGCCTTTATTGCGGGAGTGGCCGTTTACTGTTACCGGGATATGTTTGTACGGAAATCCAGAAAAATACACAAAGATGCAGAATCTGCTCAGTCCTGTACTGACTCCAGCGGGAGCTTTGCTAAACTGAATGGGCTGTTTGATAGTCCTGTCAAGGAGTATCAACAAAACATCGATTCACCCAAGCTCTACACAAACCTGTTGACTAGTAGAAAGGAATTGCCACCCAATGGTGATACGAAGTCCATGATGATGGATCCCAGGGGCCAGCCTCCCGAATTGGCTGCACTACCCACGCCTGAATCTACACCAGTTCTTCAACAAAAGACTATGCAGGCTATGAAAAGTCAGTCAGACAAAGTGCATAGTAACCTCAATGCCTCACGAAAAGAAACCCCACTAAAAAGCCCTCAGTTTTTTCCTTCCAGTCCTCCACCCCATTCTCCTCTAAGTCACGGACATATTCCTAGCGCTATCGTTCTTCCCAATGCCACCCATGATTACAATACATCTTTCTCAAATTCTAACGCGCACAAGGCAGACAAAAAGATGCAACATATTGATCACCCACTTACAAAACCATCCAGCAAAAGAGACCACAGGAGATCTGTTGATTCCAGGAACACCCTGAATGATTTTCTGAAACACTTAAATGAAACTACTAGTAATCCTAAAGCAATTATGGGAGATATTCAAGTGGCACACCAGACTTTAATGCTGGATCCAATGGGAAATATGTCTGAGATCCCACCTAAAGTTCCCAACCGGGAGGCGTCTTTATACTCTCCTCCATCAACTCTTCCGAGAAACAGCCCGACAAAACGGGTGGACGTGCCCACCACGCCTGCAGTACCAATGACCTCTTTGGAAAGGCAAAGAGGCTATCACAAAAATTCTTCACAAAGGCATTCAATATCTGCCCTTCCTAAAAACTTAAACTCACCAAATGGTGTTTTGTTATCCAGACAGCCTAGTATTAATCGTGGGGGGTACATGCCTCCCACGGCAGGCACAAAGATGGACTACATGCAAGGGACGCCTGTCAGCGTTCACCTCCAGCCTTCCTTGTCCAGGCAAAGCAGCTACACGAGCAACGGCACCCTTCCTCGTACAGGAATAAAGAGGACACCCTCCTTAAAACCCGACGTGCCACCAAAACCCTCATTCGTTCCTCAGACAACTTCAGTCAGACCACTGAACAAATACAGCTACTAGGACTTGTCTGTGCTAAAACCGAGTGTGGCATTGACCTGTACAGGTTGTGAGATGATGTTGTGGGAGACACGTAAGACAGAGACCTGCTTGTAATTAAAGAGAACAAAAAGTGGCCAAAGAAACTGTCTTTACTTCAGCAACATCTGTGTCTTGCCACATGTAGCTATAGCAAGACTTTGTGCACTTGCTAAGAGCAAACAAAAAAAAAAACAAAGGAAAGTGCTGGTCATTACATTTCTTTTGTTTGGAGCTAAGGAGACATGTAGCACAATGGGGTGGGGGCTACTTTACTGTTCTAAAGAGCTGAAAAAGTTCCTGGAAAAAAAAAATATTCTGTGAGCAAATACTTGAAAAATGGGTTCCATTTTAGACTGCCGTTAAGTGTGGTCCTTCCCATTAAATGTGAACATTTTAATATGTATGCATTCACCTTGCCTCTTGCACAAATGTCAGAAAATGGTAATGTCTCAATGAATATCTGGGTTAATAATCAATTTGCTGGAATTCAGTCTCTGGCCCAACTGTAGCATTCTTTTTTTTTTTTTTTTCCTCTCCATGTGTGTGGCATTTTGTTTGTGCCACAGATAAAGCTGTGCGTGTGTGGATGTGCGTGTGTACTGTACACACTAGGATGTATTTAGATTCCCATTGCATCTTTTATGCTATGGAATTGTTTACATTGAGCATGACTGAACAAACAGATGACTCTTCCTTCTGCAGCGTTTGGGTTCAGCGCGGAGACAGCTAAGGAAGAACTGCGCATCTCTGGCAGCCTTCTGAGCGATTCGCCTCGATGAAATAAGTCACCCAGTGAAAGAGTGCATAAACGTTTAATTCTTCATAACTCTGGTATGCTGCTATTGATTCAGAGCTGTACATTTCAAATCTAATGTTTTGGGCTGGAATGGGGAGTTCTACTGTGCTTCCCCAGCCACTACCTGGCCACTGTGAACTCGAGCCCCTGTACTTCTCATTGAGGGCAGCTAATAACAATTCACTTGGCAGAGGCCTGTGTAACTACAGAAGGTTATGTTTTTTTTGTTGCATTTAATAATGCCCTACACTCTGATAGACTCTTGTCAGTAGAAAGGAAGAAACATTAATTGGCCTGGCAGAAGCAGTCTGTGAAAACTCAACAGTAGTGCAATCAATTTGTTTTTGTTGTGTAATGTAATTTTTTTTTCCAAAGTCATGCAGGTAATGACAATATTCTGTAAATATTATGTGTGAGTTTACCTGAATCTGTGCATTTTGTGCCTTATTCATGCAAATGATAAAAGTACTAAAAAAAAAAAAAAACTGTCAAGTGTTCTCACTATAGCACATATTTCCCGAGTGCCAGTGTAAAACCTCTCAACAGCACCCCCCCCCAAAAAAAAAAGATGAAAAGCAAGAATAATTAATGATAACTAAAGGCAGCCTACAATCCGAGACGATAGCAGCAGTAAATCACCTTACCATGATAAACATTCCACTCCAGCTCTCTGAAGGATCAAACAGTTATAATGTGAAATCAAATGAGGTTTCTAGGGTAATGGAACACCTGCTAAAGTTGTGTAAGCCATTTAGGAGGTTTTACAGTATCCACTTGCAGCTGATGTTCAACACAGATGGCTATTTTAGCTTGCAAACTGCACACTACCACGTTGTTTATTGAACATAACTATAGAAATAACCAGTGCAGAGGAATATTCATGAATTAGCGGGACAAGTAACTGCAAATGGGTTTCAGAGATGATGGAGACTTATATCATCTATCTGTTTGAAGGGGAGAAAAGGTTAGTCACTGAAAACCGGATCTCTGTTACAGAACAAAGAATAAAGGATAGAAGTAGTCATTTTTAATGGTAAGGCTGTAAGGGACATTTATTTCCTCAGACCTCTGGATCCAAACATCAACGATCTCTCTTCCTAAACACTTCTGTCTTGCAACTAAAACACTACAAGATTAATAACTATTAAAAATGTACTCAGTTGTCAAAAGACAAAAGCTGATCTGAATTCACTTTACAAATATTAATTCAGACTTGTGTGAAACCGAAAGATAAATGTATGTGAACCCTGATAACCTCCTGTAACATTGTGCTGCCTTGTAGATGGTAATGTGAGTTCTCTCAGTATTTATGTTGAAATTTCTAACATTCAACCTAGTCTTTATTCTGTTAATTTAATAATAAAAGATGCTTTATCCATTTGTGCAAAGGTAAACGCAGATTGTATCTTTTTTAATGGTACGGCATAAAAAAGTAACCCTTAAATGAAGCTGCTCTATACTATAGAGTACTTTAACATGTATAGATATCTTGTAAACTTGTATTGTGGATGTGTAAATAATATGTTCTTTGGGTTTTTAACACCGCATGTAAAGTCAAAATAAAATATTCCAATGTACTGAATGTCTAACTTCATTGTTATTGAGCCTCATTTTAAGTGCACTGTTCCTGAGATTATCATAAAGGAAAAACTGCTTGCCTTTAACCGTTCGGTGAGGAAGGCACAGCGACACCCTTTCATCAGCGTTACGGGGGATCAGGCAGCTTGCCGAGGCTGAGAGCAAGCCACATATAGGTGCACTTCCATTTTCATTGTAGTCGCGTGTTGACATGCATGTTCTTGAGAAAGAGAGTGTCTGTAGACGACCGTCAGCCTCCTGAGTTAAATATAAAACATCAAAGTAACTGGCATGGATCGGGAGAGCGCACTACGAGAGTCAGGTTAGCCCCTATGACACACTAACCAGATGCATTAAATTTGAGAACACATAATATGCTCCCATATGAAACCTTTACTGTAGCTTGATCCAACTTTCAGTTGTACTGTGGTTCCTGTGAACCCCTCCTATCTGGGTTAAAAAAATACAAATTTTGTGCAAATACAATACAGTTTTTCTTCTAAAATACAGGCTACCAAAAAAAAAAAATAATTCCTGGCAAAATTAATGGCAGAATTAATGGCAGACCAACAAATCAGGACATTCCTAAATACTTACTAATGCTTAATAATTGAAATTCATGTTTCAGACAGATAATAAAGGTCCAACAGAAATATAAATGCCTTATTAGTATGTGCCAACATCACACACAATTTTAAAATAATCAGGGTAATTTAGTATTGTAAAGCAAATATGAAGTATTCTTCTAATTAAAAGTTGATTTTAGATAATGGATAAAAATGGTTTGTTATGAGTTTATGCTCTCAAGGTATTAATCATTTGAAATCACTGTGCATGTTGCAACAATACAATGCACTTTTAGGAAGACAGGCATGGAGAAAGGAAACAGTACTAAAAAGATACCCCAAATCTGTAATGTCTCAATGTGTATTTTTCTAATGCAGAAGCCAATTTAGATTTCTTTTTATTGATGTGATTTTTATTGGATGTATACATGAAACGCAGGGTCAAACACATATAGCTGTCATGTGCCGCAAGCCTATGCTGCTTTTCCACTTTAACTACGCGTTTAATGTGGAAGTGCCAGCCAGTATTCCTTAAAAGCGTTCTCTCTGCAAAGGGGCAGTAACTCCTGCCGTACACCTGCCTGAATAATTTTCAGTTAGGCCTTAAGAGGTATGAAAAATTACAAACAGTTATTTTAATGACACACAAATATGCACCCAGGACATAAACAGTGGAATATTTTTGTTTAGAAATAGTTGTATTTCTTCTATTCATACGGTGTCAAGTGACCATTTTCCACCGTCATCTTTTTTGGTCTATATCGAAGCAGCCCGCACTTAGCTGGAGTCCCGTGGCAGCTGGACGCGTCTAACGGCGCTGCTGCTCCCGCTGGGTCACACGGGGGGTGCAAACACCACAGACGCCTATGGGAAGCAGTAGTCAACAGTGTTAGCAAAAAAACAAGCATCAGAAAAGCTCTTTTGTATTAAAAAAAAAAAAAAACAGTCTCCCCATTACTAACAGAGAGAGGGAACATAGCAGCCAAAGGCTAACCAGCCATAACTGCCGCTTTCAAACTATTTCTGTCTTTAATGATGCCAAAGTGGACATGAACAATCTCTTTCCTGAACGGGAATTGCAACAACTACTGAAGCTGGGCAAGAAGCAAAATGAAAGCAGTTTCAGGGAGTTTTCTCCTCCAATGCTGCCCTGGGCTGGTTGGTTTGCCTTGACGCATCCTCTAGTTTCTCTGGAATAACATCTCGCAGCGCCAGAGCTATCGCATGAGCGGGTACCGGGTGCCGGGCGCGTGCTTGCGTTTTGCAGACAATCTCAGCAGAAGCAATTCTGAAAACCAAACAACCAAGAACGTAGACAAGTTTGTTTTTTTTTAAAAAAAAAAAAACAAGGCTCCGGGCACGCAGTAGTGAGATGATTGCAAGAAAACCAATTTGTAAAGCCGTGAGAAGTTATCTGTGTGACTGTGCTGCCAGCACAAACCTGCGGCCTTTCAAATTGGGGTCTTAAAGTAATCAGAGCAGTTACAAAAACCAGGATGCCTCTGTCTTAGTGCCATCTTGCTAATGACTCACTCTGTGACCTTGGGAAGATTATGCAGGGTTTGTCCAGTATAATAAACACTCAGAAGACAGTGTTCTTACTTGGAGTATGTACAGTTGTTATGTTTGTAAAGTTTTCCACTTATAAAGGTTTTCTCCATATTTTTATTTCTCCCTCTATGGTTCTGAGCACTGGCAAGGACATCTTGCAGGAACGGGGAGGAGTTGGTTGGTATTTCCCTAGGTAGCTATTAATTTCATGGGATGGAAAAATGTTTTCTAAAAATTGATCAAGACAAAAAAACCCTCATAAATGCAGCATCTGGACTTCAGCTGGGATGTGCAAGCTATTCATATGAAAAGCAGTACCAAGAGATCCACCTACCAAGACTGAATTTGTTGCTCAAATGTCATCATAGCACAGTATGAAAGAGCAAGAAACCAAAGGATTTGGGAGGAAAAAAAACATTAAATATTTAATTAGATTCAGCTTTGCCTAGTGAACTACAGATTTTCGTATTTTTATTCAATCATACTAAAAAACAACTGGTATGGGGGCCTGACTCTGGACCAGCCACTGCTGCCTGCCTGCAAATATTTTTGTAGGCACATTGCATTGGCCTGACACACATCTGAAATTATAATCTGTCCTGAACTCTCGACTGAGAAAATGTTCCTACTCTGCCTGAAATGAAATTTATTGGAAGCTCTGATTTTATTAGTACATTCTGAATTCATCCAATGACCTGATTTATGGCCCGCTTGCTTGCTTTTTTCCTACAATCACCAACAACTTTTCTGAGCTCTCCTCGTTAAAATCATAACCAGATCCGAGTCTGTGTCCTACAGCGAAGGCTGCTGACCCGAATGCAGATGCCAGAGGGTGACAGCATTCAGGTAAAGCTTGAAAATAGCTTGGGCTCCTGCAATGACACTGAATCCTCTCTGCCAGACAGGTACGCCTGCCCTTCCTGCCCGCCAGGAAGAGTGATATACGTTGTATTGCTCTAGCTCCTGTAATACTTTAAGGGCAGGGAAGGAGAAGAAAACCTACCGCATAGACCGACTGTGCTAACAATTGTCAGGAATGGTCCCATCTGTCAAAAAAAAAGAGGATGTTTACTGCAGGAAAACTTGAATGGCAAAAAATCCAACCTGCACGCATCTTACCGTCTGCGTTCAGCAAGTCATCGGCAGCACAGACAGTTTTTCCAGGGCAGAGTCACGCTGACTTCAACAGCAATGAGCAAAGGATAACAGCTCTCAATAAAGGCTCTTTCTGCAGGATCATACCTGGCTGTAACAGCCAGTTTTTGTAACTTTTTCCAGTAGCTGACCTTCAGCATTGGCAGAGGCAGAGCATGAGCTAACGGCTGGCTCTGTAGCTGTATGCCAGCCTTTTAACATGCGCCTGCTCCTCACAGAAATGGAAGAGATGCCAAGGAAGACAAGAAAGGTGGCAATTGATTTTTAATGTGGGTCATTTTAAGCACAGGCTTATTTCGCAAATCTTTGATTTACAACACTGGCCCCTCATGAAAAAATAAATAACAAAAAAAAAAGTAGACCAGAGCAGATGAATCACAAAAGCAATGCACCAGCTAACTGTAACTTGCCTTTCTGTGCAAGGAGCGTCCATCTGATTACTCTGATTTCCTCAAAAAGACGTGTGGATCAATTAACAGCTTGAGATTTTTTTGTTACGGACTAATGGGAAGTTTTTATAACCAGGCCATGCTGTATAACGGTGAATGGCCATTAGTCACAGGCTGTTGGGCCTGACCAACCATTAGGTAGGTGAGCAAGAGCGTTTCCAACATTAATGCTGCACGTGAGAATTGATTTCTGTGAAAGCTCGTGCGTGCGGCTCCGACAGTCAGTCTCTGTCACTGCTAGCACAGGTGAAATACTGACTCCATCGAAGGCAATGGCAAATCACAGGGCTGCCTGGGGCCAGGCTGTCGCCCTCAGTCACTCCGACGCTCCCAGAAAGCAAACACTGAGGAGGGGAGAGTGAGGCCAAAGGAAGATGGGATGCACGCTTGCAGAAAAGCCTTTGTTACAGCGGCACACAGCCCCAACGTCGTCTCCGGCCATGCGTGTTCAACACGGAGATCCGGGCTTTCTCTCTGGGTGAGAAAAACGCGTGTGCGGAGGGGTCTGCCCTTGCCCCAGCTCCGAGGGCTTTCCAGGTGGTGCCGTGGGCGCTGAGCCAGGCTCGCTCCAGCCAGCTGCCTGCTCGTGTGCGCAGTCCTCCTGCCCTCCTGGACCACCGCGTGCGGCTGTAAGCCTGCCTGGTTTTAAATTCGGTAGGAGAGCCCGGGAGGTACTACACTGAACTGTGAAATTCGGCTGCAGAGCCCAGGCTCTCGGGCGGACGAGGACAGCCGCAGAAAGGCACTGCCCTGCACGCGGCGAGAGCAGCCTTGCGGAGCGCTACCGCGGCTCACGGTGACAAGCAGCAGACGGTGTCCTGGCAGAGCTTCACTTCCGCTGCCCGCAGCTCAGGTGAGAGCTACCAAAATACCAAAACCCACTCAAGCATTTAGGAAATCACTGAACTGAATTAAGAACCTAAACTGAAAGACAGTAAAAATGATTACTCAACCTTAATATCTCGTCTAGGACAGCTTTCAGATTAAACAGGACTTTTTGCATAACGTTCAAGTCTTCCTTCTCCGCAGGCTGAGGTGAGTTTGGATAGCCAACTACTACTGTCACTGCAGCAGTTATTTTGCTTTGACAAGCACAAAGACCACATCTCAAAGAGCCCTTCACTGCTAGCTCCTGGAGGCCACCACCCGATCTCAGCACACAACACACCGTTCGCCTCGCGAGGCGTTACCTGAAGCGACATCACGATCAAAAGCCAGGTTACGCGAAGCGCGACAAGCTGTGAGAAAGTCATGCAGAATTTCAGGGCTGCTTCATTAGTGGGAGGGATAGTTCAGAAAGTGCTTGAAAATGACATTTTACTATACATGAGATATCCATATTACAGGCATTCTTGATAGTTCCTGCTGCTTCAGTTAAGCTGCAACGTCTGGTGAAAGGCTGGATTTTCTCCTCTGGAGGAACAAAACCGCAGCTACGATTTCTGCCCACACTGTGAGGGAGGCGATGCGCCGCAAAGGGCTCCGTCCACGTTGGAAACTCCAGGGCAGCAGGAACAAACAGAATCCCATAGCCCACAAAGCAAAATCAGTGGCCAAAAGTACACTGCTTGTCACATTGCAGGCTAAAACCACTTAGAAAATAGCCATTGGATTTGGAGGGCGGGGAAGCGTTTGCTCTGAGCCTGCTGACAAAATGGACAGCTTCACAATAGCGTCTAAGAACATCTTGCACAAATGCCACATGGCTAACAACGTCAACACTGTCCATCTAAATCCAGTACTGGATTTCTTATAGTCTTCCTTGTGTTCTCTAACACTTAGTTTCACCTGTCCTGAATAGGTTCATAACTAACCTCCTGTCCTCATGCCTCACGCAGTTATTTTACTGCTCATTTGTTTTTTCATAAAGTTCTCCCACTCAAGCCTTCTGCGCTCTCTGGCTGCTGTTTCATAGGACATTTTAGACCTACTCCTCTAGGCTTCAGACCCAAGGCCAAGTCAGGATTAGAGGTACCGAGCTCCAAAAAGTCAGGCTACACCTTTGTTAGCCGCCCGCTCGCTCCTTCAAGCCTGTCACAGCACGAACAACAAGATCAAACGATCTCCACAGAAGTCTATTGCTCCTTCCTTTCCTGCCAGGCGTGAGCTCCTCCATCCCATCAGTGTAACTGGGGCGCTGGCATTTGGAGCTCTGAACATCCCCCCAGTCTGCCAGCCATCAAACAGCCCAGGTGGCTGGTCCAGGGAGAGTGGTGGGGACGCAGGCTCACGCTGGACCAGCAATCTGTAAGCAAGCCTGGAAAACCAGTAGGAATCAGCAGGAGGTATGGGTCGAAATACCACTCATGCCTTTGAAAATCCCCTCAGCTGTTAGGACTATTTAATCCTTGCTCTCTCTAGTCAGCATTAGCAAAGATGCCAGCTATCACATGCATCATTCACCCTGCAGGCACAGGAAAGAAGCACAGCCCTTCTGGAGAGCACACCAAACCCCCCAACTCCAACCCATGCAAGCTACGGACACCAACTAGCTAATACCTAATGATAGAGAGAGGTTTTTAACCAATAACCACAGACCTATGAAGTCCCAGATACCTGATTTAGGCATGTGCAAGCAATCCAAAGTTGTAGAATACGTACTCAGTTTGAGGGTTATTTTCCCAGTTGGATTGCTTCGCTGTTGTTTTAAAATTCTGGATTATTAATAAGTATATGCAGCTATTTTCCCCGAGAACACTACAAAAGTTGACATGAAACGTACTAGCCTGAACTCAGTTTCTTTCTGATTTAATAAGTTTATGCCAGCCCACCAGCAATACATTTTTTTTTAATTAACCCTGGACGTTAAACAGAAGTTTACTAAAATAAGAATATTTTAAATGAATAATTTGTCTTGGCTTATTTCAGGAAGACTCTATCTTACCCCAATAATCAGTTCAGCTGCAAAGAGATCAATAAGGTCCTTCAATTCAATGAGTAGAAGGCATGCATTAAAAAGTAGGTAACAAACATGATAGACTGGAGAAGCTAATACAGTCTATTATATTGTTTTGACACTAAATCTATCTGCTAAAAATTCTTGAGAAAAGGTTACTGCCCATATAATAACTTCACCAAATGGAATAATTTGTGAGCGATCCTTGAGTAGACTTCCTGGCATTTATCCACAAACACATATCTTGTCTGTTATATCTTCACTGCAGAAGAAACCAGAGTTTTAATTCTGAACCGCAAAATAGTTTCAGAAACCAGCCACTGTTGAGCCTTCTCATCCCATAAATGGACAAAACAGGTTACTACTTCCTAGCCTACAAAATCACAGATTTTAAGAATCTACCTGTAAGAGTAAGGCTGCCCCTTCCTTGCCAAGGAGGTTCCCAATCCAAGAGCTCACTAGATGCACTGCACACAGCCCCAGGTACGCCGTCCCCGCTCCCTCGCCCTTTTTATTCGGAAGCTGTCTCTGCACAGCAACTTGGTATCCCCAAGAGCGGTCACTCAAGGCAGTTCACAGCAGGATCTGCTCGAGAGCAAAGACTAAATTCAAGGTGATTTAGTGTCAGCCTCACTGAAGTACATGGCACACTCTTAAACCCTCTTAGTTATCTCCTGTTTTTCGCTGTAATTATAATGATGGTTTTAGGTCATTAAATATAGCTACCATCATGTTTCTATCAATCCCTTAAGCCAAACGTGAGGACTCGCAAAGAAAGGGAGTGAATTCGTGAAAGAGTCAAACTGTAACAAGAACCTAATGACGGCGCGGCCACAGCAGGCACAGAGCTTCGCCACACAGCTCCCAGCGGAGCAGCAAGTGTTTTTACTGCCATCGCAAGCGGCAGAGCTAATGTGCTAGACGAAATCTCCAGAGAGAAATAGCTTCGTTTATTCCCATTATATTCCTACCAAACAGAAGTCACCTGGCAAATTACTTCTGGTCATGTCAGGCAGGGATTTACCAACAGCGCCTGGGTCTCATCACAGTGTCAGAGTTTTCCTCAGTGGCCCCGTTTTGCTCTTGTTAAGTAAACAAGACTAGCGCTCCAAAAAGTGCTCAAAGTAAAGCACTTTTTATATTAGGTGCCTGACTGAAATAAGCATTTCAATTAGATTCATTAAGGAAGTTATTACTTGTTAATTGAATAGCAACAGATTGCTAAGGATCACTTATTGAGGTCTAATAAGTATGTAAGAGCAAAATCTACTCCTCATGTAATTCCATCAGCAATAAACTAGTGCAATTAGCTCCTTACTAACAAACTTAAATTGTCAGGAATGTTGAGGCAGATAATTGGCACTTAGGAAGACACCTATACTAAGTTAGTGCAATATCAATTAACATACTTATTAAAAGTCTGTTTAAACTCTGAACAAATAATTGATACCAATGGGCTGTGGGTTACCTGGTTAAATGCTATTTAAATGCTTAAACTTCCATATTCAGAAAAAAATTAAAACAAGTCCTCTGATGGCTCTTCTTTTAAATTACCACATATGCCTCATTTCCAGGTGCATAACCCATAGATTATCTGCAATAACCAACAGCAAGGACTAGAGGGTGCAGGCTATGCACGCACGCGTGTGTGGGCAATTCAAGGAGAGGGGCTTACCTAGACCGCTGTCTGCTCGGGAGCCCATTTGCTGCTATCCCTTGCTCCCTCAGACTGTGGGCAGGTTATTTAGCAACTCATTTTCAGACTTGTACTCCTAAAGGAGTGCGAGCCACCTGAGGACAGGCTAATCCCTACTCCTTGCACCTCACCAGACTCAGCCACCACAGGACCTCAAGCCCCTTTCCAGTATGATCAAACTAAGGCTCATTACAAATCCCTAAGACTGGGAAGTCCCGTTTTACAGATGAAGAACCTGAAGCACCATACCAGCAGCTGACTTGCCCAAAGGTCACTCAGACGGATCAGTGGCTCTGGGATCAGTTCCCTCCCTAGCAGCTATGATTTATATATGGTATGGGCTCCAAAACCACCCTGAGCTGGTGGAACAAGGTGTAAGTAACCGCCTGGTCAGGACAAGCAGCAGCAGAACGACCCTTCCTGCCTCGTCCTGTACAGCACCGTTTCTCCCCCTCCAGATGCTCTGGAAAGGCTCGGCCTCCTGTTGGGCATGGAAATCCCTCTGCTTTCTCTTTGACTTGACATGCAGTTCGGCTGTGGGAAATAAAACATCCAGCAATGGCACTGAGCTCATGGAGGACTTCTGTCCATGCACAATGCCCAAGCCTTCGCTCCCGACGGAGGCCTCGGAGCGGCAGCAGGCAGCGAGGGGCGAAACGCCGCCGGAAGCGCAGCGGCCTTGGCTGGGAGAAGCAGGCAGGAGAGGGCAGGAGCGTGGGAGCGCAGAGCTGGCTGTGCCGGGCGCCGGTGGGCACGGAGGGACGGGGGATATGGGCCTGGGGCTTGGCCTGCGAACCTGCGAAAGGAGGGTGGGGAAGCGGGAAGCTGCTGCAGCGGGCAGCGCTTGCCATTTTAAGGGCATCTGTGCAAACCAATTTTAGAAACTTCTATTTTAAAAGAGGCTCTGCCCTCCCCCTTCCCCACACATACATACACACACTGATCCATCATGTGGAAATACTTCAGGCTCATCTATTAAAAAAAATTGACAGCATATCCCTGTCAGCTAGGACTGTGATTTTTTTTTTAGCTATGCCAGCAAAAGCCCTAATGTAGGCACAGCTACAATATGAGCAAAAGGAAAAAAAAAAGTTTATTTTTGCCAATACAGCTTCTTTTGCTCAGGCAAGTGATGCAAGCTATATTTCTCACGTTTTTTGCCTAGTGTAAGCTCCTTCTACACTCAGAGCAACTGCACTGTCCGTGCAGCTATACCTGAATAACTAGGTTGGAGAAAGGTCTGCAAGGCCTTAAACTGTGCTAGAGAAAGGACAGCACCTAGCACCGAGAAATTCTGCCGCTGTCTGGAGCCCGCGGGTATCGATGCAGCACAAACACAAACGCAGCGTTCTGAGTCCAGCTTCTCCAAGCGCCAGAGCAGCGGCGGCCAAACCCTTCCTGCTTCCCCAGCCTTTCTAACAAGCAGCTCCGACCTGCTGCAGCGTTGCGGGTAATCAATGTCTGCCTAGAGCAAATCATATCTCAAAACCGAGGGCTGGCTCGGTGGCCAAGAAAGCCTTGGAAAGCCTAGAAGTAGAGGAAGGACTTTTCTGTTCTGTATGAATGGAACAAAGCATAAGTATTTGGGGGAAAGGCAATCTCAAATAATAAATAATGTAGAAACTCCAAAATACCTTTTAAAGCTTCGGTCCTCTTATAATTTAATGTTTGAAACGCTGTGCTGTTCCTTTAGAAGCCTTTTCTCTCTCCACTGCTGATGATGGTCTGTCTTCTTAGACACTTGAATAATGTCTCTCTTCCTCTTGTAACATCTTCCTTGACTACTCCTCATGCATAGTAATGCTAATAATCTTGCAGCTTTCAGTGACATTTTTCTTCCTTTAAAGGAATGCCTGGTTTTATGCAGGGCTGTTCTGTTCAGCACCTTGTCTCCTGCATGCCTCTTTCACTACACAGTGTACCTATGTACATACAAATGCCTATTTACTGCTGCCCATTCTGAGCTGTTCCTGTGCCATTTAGCAGTATGCAGAAGAGTCAAACTAATTGATTAACTATATTGTATAAATTGTAGCTGAGCACATACGATAGTCAAGATTACCCTGCTATTATGTTGAATATTGTACAAATGTATACGTAAGCATAATCCCTCCCAAAAGAACTTGTATCATCACTAACTAGGCACCTTTTCCTTGTGAAATGGACTTGATATCTAGCAAATTATACAGTGGATAATACTATGTGCAGTCATGTAGAAGTACCTGACCACCATAGAGTTTTACAGTTCTTTCCTCAGAGAAGACGAATTCAGAGTCTATCACCTCATAAATGTAATCATGTAAATATGGACAATAGCTACGCATTAAGCTCATTTGTCAAGGCGAGCTAGGCAATTCATCTCACGTCATGAAGCAAGAAAGGACCAAAAACGCAAACAGAAACCAAAATTTAACTGCTACTTCAGTCTTGTAACTGGATGGTGAACACACTAATGTGCTTCATGCTTCTAAGTTATTTTAAAGCACCTTCTCAGTCATCGTTAAATGTTAAAGGAATCTTGTATCTTTTGAAGAGGTGCAGTTAAAGACCCTTGCTGTTTCCAAAGTTTCCTGAAATAGAAATCCTCACTTGTAACTTGCCAATATGGGATTTCAAATGCATTTTATATACATAATTCTGGTAGGAACCCTTGACCAAAATCATCCTGATGGCTTTGATACAACCGCACAGTTAGTTTACGAACTTCCAGCCATTGCAAAAAATAATCACAGCAATCCAAACACTCTTCCAACAGCAGCCGCTGAAGAAACGAACACCAGCTAATCAACTCAGCCTCCTCCTGCTTATTAAAACATTCCTCCTGCTACACTTCATGTTATCACTATAAAATCTACAGAGAATTTTTCTCTTTAAATACAGGCTTGAAACTAAGTTGTATGTCATGTTCTCAGAAACAGAGTCACATGCTATTAAACATAAGCAGATTATAAACAAGAGCTTAGAATCAAGGTGAAACACACAGACACCTTCAGAACATTGAACATGATTACAGAAAATGCCATCGTTCGCTTTTCCTTTGAATTGATGTTAACAAGTAAAGCATTTTACTTGCCTTTGTTTACTGGGGGAACATAAATACTGCATAAACTACATTTTCCTGCCAACTAAGCATTGTCTACATGATGGCAGCTTGTTCTAACTGTGTTTATACTTTCAAAGAGTCAAAAACTCAGTGGTGGAGCAGGAACAGTCTGGGATGTTATATGCATGTGAAATGTGTTTTTCATTAAATAACTATTTGAGAAAACCTTTAAAAGTCTCAGCCTCAGATTGCCCAAAAATCTGCAGCACAGCTCAAAAGGATATACCTCAAACAGGTATTTCACAAAACACCTGAAGTGCCTTAGGAGCCTAAGCCGAAAAAGCAGCTTCCGAAGGGACTTAGGGCCATCTTTTCCAAGATAAGTAAAGATGGTGATAGACACCCAAGAAGAGAATCATGGAAGTACTCAGGTCTTTTTCAGATGCTTGCGCACTACCAGGCAATCCCCAAATGCCCCACCTGAGCCTCCTGGGTGCTCCAGCTGCCCTAGCGCTGACCAGAGCAACCCTCACTCCACGGACAGAGCAGCCGCTCAGAGTGCCGCATAAGCTCTTCCAGTAGGCAGCTGCCTGATATCTGGGCGTTGCAACACCAAACTGCAGCGCACTAAGATCCCAGGTGATCCTTCCCGTCATGGATTTATCCAACTCCAGAAAACAGAGGGCAGACAGACACTGCTGCATTAACTGTTACAGCACTTAAGAGCTCCACAGGGCCATGCAGCTAGTTTGGGGGAATTTTATAAACCAAAACTTCCAGATGCCTCTCAATGCCAGCACACCTACAGAGCTAGCCGGGCTCCTTTTGGATAATTTTGCAGAGCAAACGTCCAGCGATGTTGCAGAGAAAGCGTCTTGCAGCACTGTGTGCTATTGAGTGAGGAAAGAAAAAAGGCCTGTCCTAAGTCTCCCACCAGGCAAGTGTAGGGACTTTTGCCAATTCAGCATGAGCTGATCTAAACTTAACTGTTTCAATCTGTTTATGATGGGCTGGTTCTGCCTCCAAAGCTGCAAGCTGGCTGGAGACCTGTCGTTCGGATCTGCAGAATGAGAGGAAACTGAAAC